TGCAGCTCAATAATTCAAATGTTGACTAGAGCTCACTTATTTTTTGGCTATAGCTCAAGACGTGTTTGCATACTACATGTGTTTGTCGTGACTTGTGTTCCATATTTCTGAAACTTAAGTGTATTTAAAGCAATATCTGATGCAAAAATTTTGTTAACATTTTTAAAAAGTATACTTCCAAAAATGATTGTATGAAATAAATATGGTAATTTATTGCCCCTTAAAACGCGAAATGGCGCAAGAACAAAATCATTGCTAAACGGATAAAACCCTACTTTAATATAGCAAAACAGTATTGTTTCTCCTGTTTACTTACAAGATTTCATTTTATTTAATAACAGTGATATTCTATGTTACATTACTTTTTCAGGAGTCAACCATATTATGATATAATAATGGAAAACTAGCATAATTTTGCTGTTAATAAATATTTAAATATTTCGTAAGATATAGAACATACACTTTAAGCCACTTTAATTTTAAAAAATGAAGAAAAATAATAAGATAAATAAATAAAACAAGAAATATCATAATGACATATATGCCCCCCCCCCCCCCCCCTTCTAGCTGAAAATTGAATGAAATTTCTATCATTATTAAGTGGAACAAAAGGGAGAGTAGCTGAATAAATGTTTATACTATCATGTAAATGTAACTTTGGAGCATCTACTTTGAACATTCAAAGTTATTGTAACCTTGTCATCTGACCTAGTGACCTCAAAACAACAGGGGCCATGGTCTACTAGTTATGAACAAAATTAAAATGTTGAAACACAAAAATGATAACGGGTAGTTTTGAAGATAATGAGTAGAAACCCATTCTGGGACATTTAACGTCCTTGTGACCTTTTGGACCTAAAGACCTCAAAATCGACAGGGTCATCTACTAAATTATAACCAATCAATAAGTGGAATATTTAAAAAGGTTAAGTATAAATAGTTCTACAAATAATGGTTAAATAGTTTTCAAAAATAATGAACGCAAACCATTATACATTAAAGGACCCTTTAACCTTTAAACCGGTGGACCCTTAAAATCAATAAGGCGTCATTTTACCACCATATGACTTATCAACACATGAAATAGGAAAACTTTGTGAAAAATACTTTTTAAGTTATTGTGCGGATACTATTTTGACATTCAAGTCACTGTGACCTTGACCTTTGACCTAGTGACTCCAAAATCAAAAAGGGTCATCTTCTAGTTATGACCAATCAATATGTGAAATACAAAGACTTTCTAATAAATAGTTTTCAAGATAATGAGCAGAAACCGTTTCCGAAATTTAAAACACCTGCAACTTTGACCTTTAAGCTAGTTACCCCAAAATCAATATAGTTATCTAATAGTTATGACCAATCAATATATGAAATATGAAAGCCTTTTTGATAAATAGCTTTTAAGATAATCAGCACAAACAATGTGTACTCTAACGACGGATAAAACAAACATACTTAAGGTCCCTGTGACCTTGACCATTGACCTAAAGACCCAAAAATCGAATAGGGTCATCTAACTACTTACGACCAATCAATATGTGAAATATAATGACTTAGTGATAGATAGTTTTAAAGATAATGAGCTTAAAAACCATTCAGACATTTAAGGCCCCCCCCCCCCCCTGTGACCTGACTTTGAACTAGTGACCACAAAATCATAGGTGTCATCTACTACATATGACTAATTAATTTGGAAATATTAAAGACTTTGTGAGAAAAAGTTATCAAGATAAATGAGCGAAACCATTCTGACATTTAGGGTCCCTGTGACCTTGACCTTTACAAAGTGACCATGGAATCAATTAAGGTTTTCATCTACTATGTAGTTATGACCAAATTAGTATGTAAAATATGAAGACTCTGTGGATAAATAGTTTTTAAGATAATAAGTGAGGTCTACCGATGGACTGACCGACCAACATTAACATAACATAACTCTTAACATTTTTTTTTTCAACATAAAATTGTTTATACATACAACAATTATAGTCATACAGATATTGTGTGGACATTAGCAAATCAATATAACCCGCTCTTCTTCAAAGTGGGACATAAATAAAAATAACTAGGGTCGGGAACGAATAAGAACCTACATTGATGTTCGAATTAATATTCGTTTTCCATATTTGAATATATTCAAATATTCATTTTTACAAAAATTTGAGAAGAACCGCCTATGATGCTATCATTTGTATCTGAACTGCTAGACACTCCAGACATTCAAAAACATTCACACCATGACTCACATGTTGAATTTGAGTTGCACAGATAACTTTATTTGTTGGTGTTGTCCCAAGCAATAGTTCCAGAATAGAACGCGCTAACTTAAAGAAGAAAACTTCCCAAACAGGAAACAGTTTAATGGTGAATATTATGCTAGATACCTGATCAGGAAACAGTGTTTCCAAAACGGGAAGCCGCTACTTCATATTAGTTAAAATCGTAAAATTTCACTCAAATTCACTTTCAGATAATTTTAGTTTTTAGGCATTTAAAAAGAAAATGACTGCCGATTAGGATTTTAGATGTATCTTTTAATCCCTTTTTCTGCACTTAAATGTAAAATCCTTTTTTCCCATCTAGGAACGTTATGCCCGACTGTTTAAGGAAATGGAAATTTGATAACTTTTTAGGGGTAATTCCATTTTAAAAAGTTGTTTTCGTAATGATTTTATAAATGAAGATAATTTATTACAGGGATGAAGAATGTCTTCTTCACTCAGCTTTCCTAGGAGGCCGAAAAGAATACCATTACAAGACTTTATATTTGACCCCGTAAGTTGAAAACATAAAATTTTTAACATTCTTCATGGCCTAGATTTTGACTTCTTTAAAGCGTATGCCTCCAGATCCTCTAAAAAAATGTTTTGAAGGAAACAAAGAAAGAATTTACACATTGCAAAAGGCACTTACAAATCCATGTTTATTACCAAAACAGAAGTCAAAATATATACATAGATACCGCTTACTGGGTTAATTAAACGCAGTAGAATTATAGTGATTGATTACTGCAAAAATCTTTCATTAATCACACATAACATGTTGAAAAATTAACTATATATTGAATCTGTTAACTTTTCTATAGATTTTCATACATTTTTCTAAAGATTGAATTTTCTTGAAATATTTTTGCTCATCTGTAGGTGTGCAAGCTTTAACCCTATCTTACCTTGTAAAAATGTTGAAAAGGGTGTTATCCATATTTCAGTGTGGAAAAAACTATTCATCTTTTTTCAGTGCAGGCCATAATAAAATGGCACAGATTTAATCTTGGTCTTCACTCGTTACATGCTTAGATTCATTCACTGGCTACAGTTTAAGGCATGTTATATGGTTGTTTTTTATTTTTCAGGGGAATTCTCTTAATTCTAATATATGAGATAAAAAAGGATAAATTCTTTCATGTGCATCCTTTGTTGTATTATTTTTAAGACTCTAGACTCTAGTTAAAAGCTTGAATTTATGTCAATTTTACAGCAAAACAGTTTGCTAAGAAAACTTATAGATATTGAATCTTTGAAATACAACATGGCAGCATGTAAATAAAAATTAAGAATTGCAAGAAAAAAAAACAACAACAAAGGAGGCATATTCATATCTGTATTCTTCAAAGATTTTTTTTCAGATTTTTGGACTATTCTTGATGTTTTTATCGTATCTATATATACATGTGATGCTACACAATCTGCTATGTGATATACATGTAGACTGTAAAAATAGCCAGTGATGTGAGGGTGGAAAATGATATATTATGTACATTAACGTCGCCTGACTCCTCTTGACAAATATAATGACATTTTTATATGGTTATGATGAAAAGAATGACTTTCATAATGTTGATTGACCAATTATTGATAATACAAAAGTTTCAGAAAAATGTAAAAACTGCCTTAAAAAAACTGCCCAATTACTTTTATACATTGAGCATTACCCATACATATTCAAGGATATTTATAGGATTATTTTGTAAAATTGAAAACAAATATGCCAAAATATGAACTTATTTTTAATTTTACACATTCACCCACTATTAATATCACTTTAACGAATCCCACAGATTGTTCTGACTATAACCAGAGTGAACTATTTGTACAGATAAGTTTTGTTTTTCAATAATTTTGCCACAACAACATCATTGACCATTATTATGCTCTATTTTATCTTGACGAAATGGCAGGAAACACAAGTGTCTGGCATTGGTAAAGGATAATAACGTTATTGGTGGTATATGCTTTAGAATGTTCCCATCGCAAGGGTTTACAGAGATTGTTTTCTGTGCTGTTACATCTAATGAACAAGTTAAGGTAAGAAGTTAGATTCACCTTTATTTAATCATTAAAAAAGTATTAATGGGTTTTAAGATCTAGTGGAATAGAAATTAAGAAAAAAAAATTCAAAAGATGTTCGTCAAATCATATTCATATCTCAGCATGTGGAACATTTTTCGAGTTTAATAAAAAAAAGTACTGACTGTTTTCAGTTTTCACTGGCATTTTGCTAGTTTCCACGTGGTAAACTTGAGGCGTTGTTTTTGAAAGATTTGTCTTTCTATTTGTTAATTATACTATACTGGTGTTTTTTTTCGAGATATGTTCAGAGAGGTAAAATTGGAGGAAAACTTATTTTGGTACCTTGTATATGCATAGTCAGTGGTTCTTCTCTGATTCCTGTTAATATCTCAAATAGTTATTGGGGCTTGGTAAGGTAAAGCTCAAAAGCCACTATTTGACCTTTAGGTGTCAATGTCAAAAAAGATATACATCCTAAGTGTATAATCAGATAAAAAAACAATCAAAAATTGTGATCTTTATAAGCATTTTATTTACAAACATAAACGTAAAAAATCCACAAAGTCAGTTTATTATGGTGTGGTCGTAAATATTACAATCATGACATAAAAATTGTCATGATTAATGAGTATTTAAAGTATTTGTGAATTATGAGCAACAATATATTGCATTGAAACTAATAATTATCAGCATGCATGGAATGTATTTCAGGGTTATGGAACTCATCTGATGAACCATCTAAAGGATTATCACATTAAACACAATATTGTACATTTCCTCACATTTGCTGACGAGTTTGCCATCGGGTATTTCAAAAAACAGGTACTCCAGTCATCGAATTTAGCACTGGCACGATGGCCCATGGCCAGTGAAAGTTTAATTAGTTCGAGCCAGTGAAAATTTTAAGAAAATTTAGTTAAATATATGGTAGAATAAATCCAAATTTGGAATTCGGGCTAGTTGATTCAAATCTTTAAATTCATTGACTGGTACTCTTGCTTAAAGATATATTTTGCTTGAATTTGATATTTGAAATTACTGGTTATTGCTGTACTTTGTATTTATTAATTTGATGTGACTAGTTAACAACTAAGACTAAATGCCACTACAGATTCTGCCCATATGACCAGTGCTAACCTTAATTAGCTGGCACATCTCTTATGGAGGAATTAGTAGTTACCGGTATGTTATCTAGGAAAACCAGTTAGGTGGAGATAGTGCCAAGATATGACCAAAAATGTGTTGAAATGGGAGTAAATATAGCAAACTAAATATAAAATATGATACACAAGATCAAAATGGTAATGCGTCTTTCATTGAATGAATCCCCCAATAAAACCCCTGATATTGAATTCCACACTTAAAACTGGACAAATCCTGTAGGTTAAATTCTATAGATGAAGGAGATGTATTGATTTACAAGTGTTTAAAATGTAAAAGTTGATAAATAAAGTAACCAAACTATAGTCACTTATTTAATTCTTCTTTGACAGGGTTTCTCCAAGGACATAAAGCTACCAAAGTCAGCTTACTTGGGATATATCAAGGATTATGAAGGGGCAACACTTATGGGATGTGAACTTAACCCTAGAATCTGCTATACTGAGTTCTCTAAGACAATACGCAAACAAAAAGAGGTGAGATTGCCAGTAATTTAAGTAAATTGTAAATTCATGTTACAAAATATGTCTATTTTTCAGATGTATCGTTCAGGTTTGTTTTTCTATTTTGACAACTGTTATTGAGTTATATTGTCAATTCAATTACATGGCGAAAATTACAACACTGAAAAATATTTTTATTCATTTTGTGACATCTTAACTGTACAGTGTCACAGTTAACTGTATTTTTGCATTAAGTTTTTAGCTCGACTATTCGATAAGAATAAGTAGAGCTATTGCAGTCACCCGAGTGCCGGCGTCCGCGTCTGCGTCGGCGTAACCACTTATGTTAAAGTTTTTGTAATAGTTCAAATATGACTTTGAAACTTTGCACACTTGTCCACCATCATGACCCCAACCTGTAGACAGGAGTAGGTAACTCTATCAAGCATTTTGACAGAATTATGCCCCTTTTTTGACTTAGAATTTACGTTAAAGTTTTTGTAATAGTTCAAATATTTTCAAAGTCCATTGACATATGGCTTTGAAACTTTGCACACTTGTTCACCATCATGACCCCAACCTGTAGACAGGAGGAGGTAACTCTATCAAGCATTTTGACAGAATTATGCCCCTTTTTCGACTTACAATTTACGTTAAAGTTTTTGTAATAGTTCAAATATTTTCAAAGTCCATAGACATATGGCTTTGAAACTTTGCACACTTGTTCACCATCATGACCCCAACCTGTAGACAGGAGGAGGTAACTCTATTAAGCATTTTGACAAAATTATGCCCCTTTTTCGACTTAGAATTTACGTTAAAGTTTTTGTAATAGTTCAAATATTTTCAAAGTCCATTGACATATGGCTTTGAAACTTTGTACATTTGTTCACCATCATGACCCCAACCTGTAAATAGGAGGAGGTAACTGTATCAGGCATTTTTAGTCCCCTACCGATTTAACCGGAGGGGACTTTAGGTTTACCCTCTGTCTGTCTGTCAGTCTGTCCGTCCACAAAACTGGATCCCGCGATAACGCAAAAAGTACTGAAAATATTTTTATGAAACTTGATATATGGATAGATGGCAGTATGGAGATTATGCACGTTTTTTTTTTTTCTTCCTATGTTGAAAATTCTGGTTGCTATGGCAACAAATAGTCTGAAAATACATAAACTAGATCCAGTGATAACTCCAAAAGTACTGAAAATATTTTTATGAAACTTGTTATATGGGTAGATGGCAGTCTGGAGATTATGAAAATATTTTTCTTTTCTTCCTATGTTGAAAATTCTGGTTGCTATGGCAACAAATAGCCTGAATTTCAAGATTTCTGATTTAAATTTTTCATCTTTTTCTCTATAAGTTCTTTATTTCTTAAGGTGTTTACTTTAAATATAAGTTTCTGGTCATCAACCACATCATATGTGACAAGGTTTACAACTCTAGCACAAAAATTATCAATATTACCTCCCTTGAACTTAGAATTTGTTTGAAAAAAAATGTTGTCTTTTTTAAATAACTTCTTTATTTCCTAATGTATCTACTTCAAACTTCATATATATGTTTCTTATTATCACTCAACATTTTTGAGAAGGTTAAATACTCTAGCAAGACTATTTCCAGAATTATGTCCCCCTTGAACTTAGATTTTTTTCGAGAAATTGGTATTTTTCACTCCAACTTCTTCATTCCTTATAGGATTTACTTTAAAATCCCACATAGTAATAATATGACAAGGTTGTATAAACATAATTTCCTTACTAGGCAGGGAAACTTAACACATTACTGTGATATAGACAAACTTTGAACTCAAAAGATTTAAGTTCATTCATGTCATTCATTCACTGGTAAAATTGAATGGCCAATGGCCCATCAGAATGTTGCTGGGGTTCTAACCTGTAGGGGACTTATGGATTGCTTGCAATACTATGACAAGTAAAATGGTTTCCTGCGGGGAACATTTTTAATGATATAAAGATATTTCATTTAACTATTTTCAACATTGTTTTGGGAGAGGGGAATAAATAAACGTTTGTATCAGGAATATAGTTGACAATAATCGATCAATATAGAAGAATGTCTTTGGAAACTGGTGACCGTTGATGACCGGAGAAGGTCGAACATGAAACAATTATTTCTTTTTTAGAAAATGATTAAATAGGCCTACCATTTTATGAATAATTCCAAGCAAAAAAAAAGTAAGCACAAAAGTTTACGCAGAAAATATCTCTATTTATTATGGCAGATGCCACTACGAATATTTTAATTTCGTAGATTTTCAGTAAACAATTTATTGTTTGTAAAATTTGAGAAACATATATTAAAGAAACAATGATAATTTTCAAATACAACACTCAAGTTTTTCCACCTTAAACGGTAAAATAATTATAGAAAATTAGAAATATCACGTAATAATTTTTTGTTCTTAATTAGTTGTAATTCTGACTAATTCCCTAGAGGTAATTCCGTAACGTACCGACAAACGGTATTTAGCCAGGTTTTCGAAAAGGTCAATAAACCAATCGTGTACGGTTTACTGATAACATGCTCCTCCATGTACCGAAAACAGGTCACGTGCTCCTCCATGCCTCAAAAGTTAAACGCATACCAATGGTCTCCAGACCGCAGGGAATAATTGCTTGTTGATTTTGGGGTCAAGAGGTCAAGGTAACATTGACCTTGTAGGTAAAAAACGGTTTCCCATCAATAACTAAAGAACGCTTAGGTTTAGGAACTTAAAGTGTGGTACGATTATTGCCCATGACCAGTAGATGACCCCTATTGATTTCTGGGTCAAGGGGTCAAAGGTCAAGGTCACATTGACCTTGTAGGTAAAAACAGTTACTGATCAATAACTAAAGAACTCTTAGGCCTAGGAACTTCAATCATGGTATGATTGTTAATGACCAGCAGATGACAGCTATGGATTTTGGGGTCAAAGGTCAAGGTCACATTGATCTTGTAGGTAAAAACAGTTTCCAGTCAATGACTAAAGAATGTTTAAGCCTAGGAAACTCAAACTTTGTATGATGATTATTCATGACCAGTAGATGACTCCTATTGATTTTGGGGTCAAGGGGTCAAAGTTCAAGGTCATATTCATCTTATTGGTAAAAACAGTTGACGATCAATAACTTGACAACCCATGAGCTGTTGTGGATGCCTTTGACTTGACAATTAGATGACCCCTATTGATTTTGGGGTCAAGTGGTCAAAGGTCAAGGTCATATTAACCTTGTAGGTGAAAATGGTTTCCAATCAATAACTTGACAAGCCCATAGCTGCTGGCTCTCAAACTTTGTAAGTGCAAGTTGCCTTGGTTGATATTTTTATATTAAACTAAAAATGCTTTTCGAATACACATTTGAAGGTCTTATGTAATATAACAACTTGGCTGTCATTATGAGGACTACATGATTGATAAAATTTGTGCATATATTATTTGGTAGATTTGTAATAACGTTATTATAAAATTGCTGCACACAACCTATGCCGGTCACAGTAATTATTACCTAGTGAGTAGTCATGACCAGTAGATAACCCTTATTGATTTTTTGTTCACTAGGTCAAAAGTCAGTCTTAATAACCTGATCACATGACTTATTGGCTGCTGATAGGGGGCATACATGTTTCACAAACATATCTTGTTCTTATAGGTATATATTAAAAGAAAAATCTTTAAAAAAAAAAAACTCAAAGAGCTAGAGCTTAGATATTTAGCATAAAACATGTCCTAGTGAGTGTCTACCAAATAAAACTTGGTCTCCAGTTTGCTTTGGCCTATTGACGCCAAACTTTATTGCTGAGCTTATATCAAGAGGCAGCATGGGATTGCTACAGATCAAGTTCAATGTTTCTGTTCCTAAAAATAGAAATTCAGTTAAGGCTCAATAATGTGAGTTTGCTTAGGCTTGTTGACACCAAACTTGATTTATGGGTAGCTTATATCAAGAGGAAGCTTGAGATTACTACCAAGGTGTCTGGTCAAGGTCACTGTTGCTAAAAATAGAAATTCAGTTTCCGCTCAATTACGTGAGTTTGCTTTGGCCTATTGATGCCAAACTTTGTATCTGGGTAGCTTATATCAAGAGGCAGCTTAGGAATGCTACCCAGATGTCTGATCAAGGTCACAGTTGCAAAAAAAATACAAATTCAGTTTCCGCCCAATAACTTAAGTTTGCCTAGGCCTATTGACACTAACATGGTGTATGGGTAGCTTATATTAAGATGTAGCTTGGGATTGCTACTTAGAAATCTGAGCCCAAGGTCAAGGTCACCTGCTTACAATAGAATTTTTATCTTCTGCTCAATAACTCCAGTTCATTAATTTTGGATACTTTACATGTGTGTAGCTTACATGAAAATACAGCCTGGCATTTCTACTCCGGTATCTAGTGTATTTCTATTTTGAACTATTGAAACCAACTTTCTGTGTTGGTACAAATAACAGCATTTTTTCTTCAATGCCATATTTCATTCTAATTCCTGTCACATCAATACTTGGTCGTTGAAAACCGGTTTCCATTGCATTGTGGCGCTTCTTGTATATAAACATCATTTGGAACTGTTGTTTACAATAGCAACCAGTAAAAACATGCGGTATTTATGAACTTGGTGCTATCAGTTTAAGATTTAGATTTTATATCCACTTTTGTTTATAGTTTACAATATTACTTGTTCCTTCACTGATAAATGACCTTGAAGGTCATCATAATATTGAAAATTTTCTTCCCTTTTTTTGCTGGCTATAACTGTTATTAGTCCCCTACCGGTTTACCGGAGGGGACTTTAGGTTTACCCTCCGTCCGTCGACAAAACTGGATCCCGCAATAACGCAAAAAGTACTGAAAATATTTTTATGAAACTTGATATATGGATAGATGGTAGTATGGAGATTATGCACGTCTTTTTCTTTTCTTCCTTTATTGAAAATTAGGGTTGCTATGGTAACAAATAGACAGAAAATATGGCAAATTTTACACATAACCTGGATCTAGTGATAATGCAAAAAGTACTGAAAATATTTTTATGAAACTTGATATATGGATAGATGGCAGTATGGAGATTATGCACGTCTTTTTCTTTTCTTCCTATGTTAAAAACATTCTGGTTGCTATGGCTACAAATAGACTGAAAATATGGCAAATTTTACACATAACCTGGATCCAGTGATAACGCAAAAAGTACTGAAAATATTTTTATGAAACTTGAAATATGGGTAGATGGCAGTCTGGAGATTATGCACATTCTTTTCTGTTCTTCCTATGTTGAAAATTCTGGTTGCTACGGCAACAAATAGACTGAATTTCAAGATTTCTGATTTTAGCTTTTACGTTTTTTCACTATTAGTTCTTTATTTCTTAAGGTATTTTCTTCAAACTTTAAATATAAGTTTCTAGTCTTCAACCACATCGTATGTGACAAGGTTTACAACTCTAGCACAAAATTTATCAGAATTTCCTCCCTTGAACTTAGAATTTTCATGAAAAAAATATTATTTTTTTTTAACTTCAAGTTCAAAATAAACATTCATTATCAACACCTTCATTACTAATTGTTCTTTGTTACACTCACATTGTGTATGACGTCTTGCATCTTTATTTCAAGAGTTATCTCCTTTTTAAGAATTTTGCTTTTAAAAATGTTATATTTTGATAACAGGGATGTTTAAAAAAATAACTTTAGAGTGTCCTTCAGTCCGTCTGTCTGTCTGTACATAAAAACTGTTTCCTGTGATCACTTTTAAAGAACTTTTTCAACAAATTTACTTAAAATAGAGACATAAGTGAATGGCCAATGGCCCTTCAGAATGTTGCTGGGAACCGGTAGGGGACTTTTGGATTGCTTGCAATACTATAATAATTGCTTGTTTTACTATCAAGCACTAAGAAAAGTCGAGCGTTGCTGTCCTACCGACAGCTCTTGTTTAAAATGTGCTTATTAGTAAAATATAAAAAGAGTTGATTGATCCAAAAATTAGATTTTTTGCTTTATTTGAGACATGTATAAAAATAAGTTAAGAGAGTTTTTTCCACATTTTTGCCCCCCTAAAAAACTACAAAAAATACTGATTATGAGAAAGAAAAAGCAACTATTGAAACAAGAGGGCCATGATGGCCCTGAGGTCGCTCACCTGTATATAGGCCCCTGGAGCAGGGCCAGTTTAAACCCCAGGGCTTTTATGTGAAAAAAACTTGGAAGACACCCATTAGAAGATGTTTCTTGATGTTAAGTTTTTACTACACACAAAAAATGAAAAACAATGACCTCTGCCCTCCCCCACCACCACTTTCATACCTCCCCCCCCGTCCCCCCCCCGCGGCAGGGCCAATTTTTACCCAAGGGCTTTTATTTGAACAAACTTGGTAGACACCCATTAGAAGATGTTTCATGCTAAACATATAAGCTCTAGCTCATTGGGTTTTTTAAAAGAAGATTTTTTAAGTTTTTACTATACACATAGAGTTAAAAACAATAACACCCCTGGGGCATGGCCAGTTTTGATCCCAGGGATTTTATTTGAACAAACTTTGTAGACACTTACCAGAAGATGTTTCATGCTTAATATCTAAACTCTAGCTATTTGGGTTTTTTCAAAGAAGATTTTTAAGTTTTTGCTATACACATATAAGGAAAATCAATGACCCCCAGGGCGGGGCCAATTTTGACCCCAGGGCTTTAATTTGAACAAACTTGGCAGACACCCATTAGCGCATGTTTCATGCTAAATATCTTAGCTCTAGCTCTTTGAGTTCTTTAAAAGAAGATTTTTAAGTTTTTACTATATGCATATAGGGAAAAACAATGACCCCCTGGGGCGGGGCCAATTTTGACCCCAGGGCTTTTATTTGAACAAACTTGGTAGACACTCATTAGAAGATGTTTCATGCTTAATGTCTTAGCTCCAGCTCTTTGGGTTCTTTAAAAGAAGATTTTTTAAGTTTTTACTATATGCATATAGGGAAAATCAATGACCCCCTGGGGCGGGGCCAATTTTGACCCCGGGCTATTATTTGAACAAACTTGGTAGACACTCACTAGAAGATGTTTCATGTCAAATATCTAAGCTCTAGCTCTTTGGGTTTTTTAAAAGAAGATATTTAAAGTTTTTTCTTTAGGTTGCCATGGCAACCAGAGTTCTGCATGGAATTAAATTCTTTGAACAATTTTTAAAGGTGACCACCAAAGGAACATTCCTGTGAAGTTTGGATGAAATTGGCTTAGTGGTTTATGAGGAGATGTCATTTTAAGCAAAAGTTTACGGACGGACGACGGATGGACCTACGGACGCGGACGAAAAGCGATCGCAAAAGCTCACCCTGTCACTTTGTGACAGGTGACCTAAAAAGACTGTTTGACAATGTTTAATAAGGAACTGTTCACCTTTGTGAAAAACAAGGGGCAACTTATATTTCAGTTTGCTGGAATTAAAAAATTGATCTGATTCACTTAATCTGGCATCCATCTAACCTTTGTTAGTGATAAGATCTTTAGTAACTTAGTTTGTCCATTTTAGATTGTAAAGAAAATAATAGAACAAAAGCAAGAAAAGTTCACGAAGGTGTATCCAGGTTTGACTTGTTTTAAAGACGGAGTACGACATATCCCTATTGAGAGTATACCAGGTCTTCAAGACTGTGGCTGGAGACCTGCACCTGATAAACCGTATGTATTATTTGTTATGTGCATCTCTCTGTATTAAGTTTGACACTAAAAAGACCTTTTATTCCTTAATTGAAGAAGTTTATTTCACAAAGATTTCGAGAAATTATAAACTTATGGCTGGTGCATGCGTATGTAAAAGTTTTCAGGTATTTTCCTGAATTTGAGTTTTTTTTATACTCTGAAAAGCTTTAAATCAATTAATTTAAAAATACTTAATGCAAAATTCAGGGTTTTAACATTTATAACTTCATTCTATGTGCATGAGTTGGTATATCATATACTTAATTTGTTGTAACATTGTACACTCTGACATGACAGATGATGATATTATAATGCCATGTTGTGCATTTTTTCTAGGAAGGAACCTGTAATGGACTCTGATCAGCTCTACAACATCTTTAAAACAATTCTACAGCACTGCAAGGTAAACATATCATTTTAAAGTAATATAACTATTTGAATGCATCTTTTATTGTTATAATAGGACGTGGAAAAATTCTTTTTAACTGTATCACTTTTTTGTGTCTTTAGGTATGCAATTTGATTTTCTAGTTACTCCTTTGGCATTCAGTTACCAGTTTCATTAATTTTATCAGAGTTCTTTCCCTTTAATAGTTACAAATCAGTAGTTGCATTGTCAAGTTAGAAGAGAAGTTCTCAATAAAATTCACACAGAAAACATTTGATTCAAATGACTGTAAGCCAAATTAGACTAGCATTGTAATAGAAAAAACAAATTCCCTGTGTTTTACAGACTCATGCTAGTGCTTGGCCTTTCCTGAAACCAGTGGAGAAAGCTGAAGCCCCTGATTATTATGATTACATCAAGTTTCCTATGGGTAAGTGACATATGTATCTTTGTTATTTTTTCTCATGCTTTTCCCCTTGCTACATTTATGAAGTTAACTTTTTTTGCTTTAAATTCAGGATATTTTAAGATTTTGTAACATTTAAGGGTTTCTGTTATAAAGTTTTTATCATGAATGCTCACTTGACTTACGGAGTGTTTTTCCTCAGGTGCCTGAACGATTGCACGGAGGGGCACCTGATGTCTTCCTTTTCCAATATGTTGCCATATCACCTTCACATTGTCAGTGTTATTTAAAACGCAACCAAAAATATATGATCGATCATTAATATTTTCAGAACATATTTTTCAACATTCTTTTAAAGGATAACTTTTGCATTACAAATGTAGAATCTAGAGCTTTAAGATAAAAACTATTTTTTTGTAGTTTTTATGTATGTATTGATTTTAAATCAATAACAAATTCTATTTATAGATCTTAGAACAATGGGAGATCGTTTAAAGAACAGATATTACGTTCACAAGAAATTGTTCATGGCCGACATGATGAGAATCTTCACAAATTGTCGTTCTTATAACAAACCTGATACAGAGTATTATAAATGTGCCAACACCATGGAGAGATTCTTCAACAATAAACTCAAAGAATTTTCTCTGATTGACAGATGATAGATCATTATGTTTCCTTAAATATTTGTTGTTATCAAAAGCTTTTGGTGTAAGGTAATTTCAAAGGTCGTCGAGCTTGAAATTGGACTAGACTTAAAATGAGTCATTTTGAGAATAATCAAGAGTTCAAAAAGAAAAAGTTCTTAACTCGATCTATAATCTATGTTAAATTGAACATACAGGACAGTAAATATTTTGAACCTTTATCAAAAAAGATACATATATGAAAATGTCTCTTGACTTTGATATGTGTTAAGTTTGATGGAGGATGCAAGTTTAAAAAAGTTTAACTATAAAGATATAAAAGTTTAATTTGAAATTACATCTAGTTAAATAACACTGACGTTAATTACTGATACTTTAGACCTCTGATTTTAGTCAGATATTAATTAATGGTCGATGATTCAAGCTGAAACTTCAGAAGTGTTGAAGTTGAGAAGAAAAGTGGAAGTGGTTGAAATTGAAACGGGTGCAAAAAATATATGCACACGTCTCCAGAAAGAGAAAAGGAGGGAGAAAAGTATGAAGGGTATTTTTATGGGTACATCTAAATGCTGTAAAAGTGATTGAATGGAAGTGTACTGTTTCCTTTGTTAAAGTTTATTATTCATGACTTTTACAAGATGTTATGTATTTTCAATATAATTTGAACTATGATATTAATGTAAATATATTTATATTTTATCATTTTAATTATATTTTGAAAAGTCTGTCTCTGAAAGAAAAGCAAAAATATATACATTTAATGTATAGAGGAATGCAGGAAATATTTTTGTTATAAATATTGTACTGATATCAAGGTAAATTGATTAACAGTGAATTAAACAAAATGACAAAATGCTAGTTTTTGAATTAACTATGTACCAGCTTGATCTGAAAGTGATAAATCTATGCCACCAGGAATGAGCAAAGCATGCACAGCAGTCTGACCGGCTTTGTTTAACTGATAGCTTAATAGCTTAATATCTTTTGTTGTGTATATTTTTGTATATTTATATTGATTGACGGTTCTAGATACAAAGCAAGATAAGTCATATATACAAATTCAGCATGAAATGGGTTAAAGATAAAAAGGAAACATTTGTAAGATGACTGAATTTAAGATGAATGCAAATTAAATTTATATTTACACAGCATTTAAAGTTTCTAAACCAATAATCAATTTTATAAGTGAATGATAAATTTTAAGAAATGAACATATTTGAATTGTTTAAAAACTAAAGTTATGTATGAAACTATTACTTAGGAAATACATTAGTACAAGACAATATCAAGAATTTCATTCATGTAAATTCATGAAAGAAATGTTGAAATTTCTTATTTATAGATACATGTATTTTTTACATTTTTACTGGAAAAAACTTCACAACCATATAACAGTCTTTTAGTTTGTTAAAATATATTTTACCATTTTTATTACCCCCTTCAAAGAAAAGGGGGTATATTGTATTGACAATGTCTGTCTGTCGGTCCCGTCGGTTTGTCCGTGGGTAGACCACATGGTTTCCGCTGAATATCTTGAAAAGTATTTATCACACAGTCTTCATATTTCACATAGTGATTGGACATAAATAGTAAATGACCCCTATTGATTTTGGGGTCACTAGGTCAAAGGTCAAGGTCACAATGGCCTTAAATGTCAAAATGGTTTCCGCTGATTATCTTGAAAAGTATTTATCACAAAGTATTCATATTTCACATAGTGATTGGTCATAACTAGTAGATGACCACTATTGATTTTGGGGTCACTATGTCAAAGGTCACGGGCCTTAAATGTCAAAATGGTTTCCGCTGATTATCTTGAAAGTATTTATCACAAAGTCTTCATATTTCACATAGTAATTGGTCTTAACTAGTAGATGACCCCTATTGATTTTGGGGTCATTAGGTCAAAGGTCAAAGTCACAGGGACCCTAAATGTCAAAATGGTTTCCGCTGATTATCTTTAAAAGTATTCATCACAAAGTCTTCATATTTCACTTAGTGATTGGCCATAACTAATAGATGACCCTTATTGATTTTAGGGTCATTAGGTCAAAGGTCAAGGTCACAGGGGCTTTAAATGTCAAAATGGTTTCCGCTGATTATCTTGAAAATCATTCATCACAAAGAAGGTATATTTCACATATTGATTTCTCATAACTAGTAGGTAGGTCAAAGGTAAAGTTCACAGGGTTCTTGAATTTTAGTTTTGTTTCCGCTTACTATTTATCACAAAGTCTTCATATTTGTAGTATTGATTGGTAATACCTATTAGATGACCCCTATTGATTTTGGGTCACTAGTTCAAAGTTCTAGGTCACAGGGGCCTTAAATATCTCATTATCTTGAAAACTATTTATCACAAAGTCTTTATTATTTTTCCTTTTTCCATAATTGAACTCTTCCATGTACCCATGTATGGCAAGTTTCTGTAACAAAATTACCAATTAATTGTGACTCAAGGGCTAGAAAGGGGGGCATATGTGTCATTCGACATTCTTGTTATTGTATGTTCTCGTATATGAATGTGACAAAAATAAAGAATAAACTTTTGTTAAGCTACTGCAATTAAAAGATAATTGTTTTAAGTACAACTTCATGTTGTAAATGTATGACTAGATTAGACCACTTAAAACTTCACAGTCGTCTACAGTGTTACAATTGTAAGCCACTGACCAAGATCCATGACGTAAATGTGATTTTTACTGATTAGTACCCTGTCTGAAATAAGACTTGTAACAGGGACAAATTCCCCCATTGTTTTACCTCAACTATTCGAGGATATATAGGGCTATCCTATTCACTCAAGCCTTGGTGTAACAGTTTGGTTAAAGTTTTGCATGCAACATATTACATCAACCACTAATGATATTTACTTTTATCTTTCACACACATGTATTTGTGAGCATCATAGGCATACAGAATTTTGACAGAATTATATTCATTTTTATACAGAATGTTGACAGAATTATGGTCCTTTTTACCCCCCCCCCCCCGCCGAAAATAAAAATAGTCTCCGTCCGTTCGACCTTCCGTCCCACATTTTTGTCCAGAGCATACAAAAAGTATGAAAAATAGCAAAGGGCAATAACTCAAAATTTATAAAGGGTAGAGTTATCATTCTTGCACACAGCATTCCTCCTCAATAACATAAATCCAACTATGAATTTTCATGTTGACATCAAGACTTTTTGAGTTATGCTTCGGTGAGGTGAAAAAATAAGTATGAAAAATAAGTAAAACAAAGGGCAATATATCAAAAATTATGAAGGGTAAAGTTATAACTCTTATGCGCTGCATACCTCCGGAGTGAGATCTATCCACCTACGAAGTTTCATGTTCATATGTCAAAGGCTTTTAGAGTTATGCTCTGGGCAAAAATTATATTTGAAAAATAACGGATGAATAACTGAAAAATCATGCAGGGTAGAGTTATCATTCTTGTGTACTACACTCTTCCTCAGTATGATCTATCCACCCATGAAGGTTCAAGTTGTTTCCTCAAATACTATTGAGATATGCTCCGGACAAAATGTGAAACGGACGAACGGAATGACAGACGGACACTCATTTATATTCTGAGTTTCAAGTAAATACCTTAATATATAGTTAATACTTAATGAGTTACTATCTGGACAAAATTATTTTGAAAAATAACAAAGGGCAAAAACTGAAAAATTATGCACGGTATCATTCTTGTGCGCTGCACTCCTCCTCAATGAAATCTATCCACATTTTAAGTTTCAAGTTGATACCTGTAATACTTTTTTGAGATAAGCTCCGGACAAAAAGTATGAGAAATAAAAAAGGTAATATCTCAAAAATTATAGAGGGTAGAATTATCGTTCTTGTGAAAAACATTCCTTCTCAAAAATATCTATCCACCTTTGAAGTTTCATGTTGACATCGCAAAGAATTTTTGAGTTATGCTCCACTCAGGAAAAAAAAGAAACATAACAAAGGGCAATTACTCAAAAATTATGAAGGTAGTGTTATCATTTTTGTGCACTGCATACCTCCTGAGTGAGATCTATCCACCTACGAAGTTTCATGTTGATATCACAAAGGCTTTTGAGTTATGCTCTGGACAAATAATTAGGTATGAAAAATATAGGGCAATAACTGACACCCTGCATTAGTTTTCACTTATTGCCCTTTGTTATTTTCAGCCATCTGCTCTACTACATATAAATTCTTCCAATGAGCAAATACATTCGGCGGGGAATGGCCATGTTAACATTGCTCTTGTTTAACATGAAAAATTCAGGGTTAATGTTTTTCATGCAGACTTCTGAATATTATCATTTGAAACTTTCCAAGGCCCATAATTCTGACATGGATTTTGAGTGAACTGGTGAAGTCAAAATAAGTTTATATTTTTCAGTACTTTCTTTCAACTTTATGTATTATTTTGCATGCACGAGAAATTACTAATGTGACCTGCAAACTTTCATTGACATTTACCTGAAATGTTTACTTTATTAAACAAGTGGGCAGTATTTTCATACTTTTGGCAGATTTATATATTATCTTAAACATGTCAAATCAACTCTTAGTCATCACCAGTATAACTGTCAATCTTTGAAATATAAAGTCTATTCAGCTTAACTTGACAATGACAAAAATGAGTATAGTGTCACTTTAAACTGCTAAATATAAAAAATGCCCAGGGGTAGAATACAAATACCGGTACATTGAGAACTTGCGCGGACAAATTTTAAATTTCATGGCGCCATAATATGTCTACATACGAGTGTTGAACCAATATTATGCTTATGGTTGATAGAGTTAATAATTGATTGCCCTATTTAGCGTTTCTGAATTTTCTACTCTTCAAAAAAAAACAAAAAAAAAACGTAATTTTGTATCACTGGCAATTAGTGATATTGCAAAGTTTACCTCTTTGTATACATTGATTATTAAAAATGTTTCGTTTTTACAAGTCGTGCAGTAGAAATGAGATGCTTCTTAACAATTAATTTTACAATGTATTGCTTTATAATTGATTATTAGCTCACCAGAACCGAAGGCTCAAGGTGAGCTATTAGTATCAAAGGGGGATGCTCCGGCGTCCGTCGTGCGTTGTCATGCGTCAACAATCGTCTTTCTCTCTGAAACTACTGTGCATATTAACTAAAAAATTTGGTCTGTAGCATCCTTGTGACAGTCACACTTGAATTTTCTCATGTCATTCCAATTGGCCCCTTTTAGGGGTCAGCAGAGCTAAAAATAGAAAAACCTTTAAACATCTTCTTCTACAGAACTTATTGATGGATGATCACCAAACATTGTCTGTAGCATTTTTGGGTAGTCTTTTATCAAGTTTGCTCATATTTATTTGATTGGCCCCTTTTAGGGGTCTCTAGGGCTAAAAATAGAAAAACCTTTAAACATCTTCTTCTACAGAACTAATGGATGGATGATCACCAAACTTCGTCTGAAACATTCTTTGGTAGTCTTTTATCAAGTTTGCTCATATAAATTTGATTGGCCCCTTTTAGGGGTCCCTAAAACTAAAAATAGAAAAACCTTAATTCGTCTATTTCTACAGAATTTATTGATGGATGATCACCAAACTTTGTCTGTAGCATTCTTAGGTAGTCTTTTCTCAAGTTTTCTCATATTAATTTGATTAGCCCCTTTTAGGGGTCTCTAGGGCTAAAAATAGAAAAAAACCTTTAAACATCTTCTCCTACAGAACTTATTGATGGATGATCACCAAACTTTGTCTGTTGCATTCTTGTGTGGTGTTTTATCAAGTTTGCTCATATGAATTTGATTGGCCCCTTTTAGGGGCCACTAAAGCTAAAAATAGAAATACCGTTAAATGTCTATTTCTAGAGAACTAATTGATAGATGATCACCAAACTTTGTCTATAGCATTGTTGGGTAGTCTTTGATCAAGTTTGCTAATATTAATTTGATTTGCCCCTTTTAGAGGTCTCTAGGGCTAAAAATAGAAAAACCTTTAAACATCTTCTCCTACAGAATTAATGGATGGATGATCACCAAATTTTGTCGACAGCATTCTCGGGAAGTGTTTTTAGCAAGTTTGCTCATATTAATTTGATTGGCCCCTTTTAGGGGCCACTAAAGCTGAAAATAGAAATACCGTAAAATGTCTATTTCTACAGCACTAATTGACGGATGATCACTAAACTTTGTCTGTAGCATTCTTTGGTAGTATTTTATCAAGTTTTTTAATATTATTTTGATTGGCCCCTTTTAGGGGCTGCAAAAGCTAGAAATAGAAATACCTTTAAATGTCTATTTCTACAGAACTAATTGACGGATGATCACCAAACTTTGTCTGTAGCATTCTTGGGTAATCTTTTATCAAGTTTGCTCACATTAATTTGATTGGCCCTTTTTAGGGGCCGCTAAAGCTAAAAATAGAAAAACCTTTAAACATCTACTTCAGAACCAATTGATGGATGATCACCAAACATTGTCTGTAACATTTTTGGGTACCTTTTTATCAAGTTTGCTTATATTAACTTGATTAGCCCCTTTTAGGGGCCACTAAAGCTAAAAATAGAAAAAATCCTTTTAATGAAATAATTGATAGATGATCACCAAACTTTGTAGCATTCTTAGGTAGTCTTTTATCAAGTTTGCTCATATGAATTTGATTAGCCCCATTTAAGCTAAAGCTTAAATGTTCCAGGTCATGGCATTTCTTCAAAATATTGTTTAAACATATTCTATGCTATAAGTTTAATATGAGAATAAATTGACATTCCAACACTGAAAAGCAGTTGTTTCTGGTGAGCGACTCAGGGCCATCATGGCCCTCTTGTTAATATTTCCATCGACCCTGGCATGGCCACATCACGTCATGCCAGTCTTAGTGATGGTGTTTTACGTGCATTTTTTTCTGGCACGAGCGGGCTCCAGAGTTGAATCACCTACACTCTTTTAGCTAGATGGCTCATAGCTTCCTCACAGGTATATCTCTGGCAGGATTGAAACATAGCGATGAGGGGCAAGGGACTTTAATATAAATAATATTAATCATTACATTTATATCAGAACGTTTAAGCAATGCAGACACGAATATATATAATATTTAATGTTCGACTTCATGGCAGTTAACATTATTACCGAAGTTAACTTGTCCGAAGTTACCTAGAAAACCATCAGATGACAGTTTTCCGATTTAAAAGATGCCCTTGGTCGATTGTTGGGAGCTATGTGTCGGTTTGATTTTTGCTGAACTATATAGTTCTATTTTTATTATTTCTGGGGCCGTGTGGCTAATGTTTTTGACATTAGCTACTGGCTATCATCGTTGTTGGTTCGAATCCTGCCAGGGACGTTCAATTCATTCAAGTAAGGAAGCTATTCAGAAAGCTTACGTAAGATCTGTGGCTCCAGCTTGGTTCCCAGTTGTACCTGATACAATGCAAGGAAGGGCATTCAATGGCTTTTTCCACCATGGAAGCTGGAAAGTCTATTTAGTTTTTACAGCGATAAAAGCCAAAAATAAACTTGAAACAAAACAACGGACACATTTTTAAAATATTGTTTTTTTCATCAATGCTTTAATCCTTAGATAAATTATATCATACTTACATGTGCTTAACAAATATGATGATTATTATGATGACATGATCACACTTCAACTTTGGTTTGTTTGTTAAAATGGCATTCTAGAATACTGAGATATAACTGCAAACTTACAGAACGTCTGAGGCAACCTTACAAAAAACTTCATTTTGGTTAAATGCACAATTCATCATACTTTCTTACTGTCATTTTACCTGTAAAGGTAACGTCGAAAGTCTACATGTTTGAAACATACTTTCTTACTAAATTACAAATATGAAACTTTGCCGCATTGTTTCGTTCTCTTTGTTGAAGGGAAAACATATAGCACTGTAATGCTTCCCTTGGTTTGTCCTCTTGTTCCATACATTGACCGAGAAGGTTGAGAGCTGTCTCCCTGTGACCAAAGTTTCTTCCTGTTAAGATAACCTCCATAAGGTTACTAAGTGCCCGTTGTTGATCCTGATGACTTTGTAAATGACTGTATGTCTTGTACTGTAAGAAGTAGAGATAAGGGAGGGAATCAACAATAGCATAGTTCATCCATTCCCTTTCATTTAGACGTCTTTGTGGCATATCATCTCGTGTAGATCTCATCATTTCATACCGCAATTCTCGAGGCACACAATTTACTTCTGACTTCAGAAATCTGACACAAAGAGATGCGATACTATTAAAGCTATTCTCACTTTCTTCACTGCATTTCTTTTTAAATTCAGCAGACCGACTTGTCCATGGATGAGACCAGCAGCCACACACAGGTTCAACAACAGTAGAGTTATATCGAATTTCAGTTTGTTTTAGAATGAACTCTGCTCTATCCATAATACCTACACAGTAGAACATTGAAGCTAATTCTAGTCTGCCAGATGTGACATCTGAGTTCAAACCCAATGTAAGCCACTTAAGCGCTTCATTTTGAACTGGATTATTCTGTCCAATACTTGATGACGCCATAATAAGACCAAGTGTAGAACAAAGAAATGGTGCCAGACAACTACTTGCAAGCTGTTCCAGTCTACTTCCGTGAACACTGTAGTATGTAAGCTTTAAGATAATCTGCTTAAGATTACATATGTGTTCATTTGACAATTTGTTAAAAAGAAATAATATTCTTTCGCGTATCCCCTTCATTAGATTGATTAAAAGTCCAGAAGAACATACTTCGTGTATCTCAAGTGAGGTTGCAATATTATACGCAACATGAACAATTGTACTCAATTTGACCTGTATTCTCTTGCTAATATTATCCACGCTTATTCGCAGTAAAAATCTTCCATCGCTCTGTATTGTGTCACATATTTTTTGTAAAACGTCTCGCTTCTCTTCAGCTGTAAATGTTCCGGCCATTAAGTTGTTTTCAGAAATAATGAAATGCGGGCAATTTCCATTTTGAACATGGGTGTGGAGTTCAAGCAAGCAGTATGACAAACATGTAAAAATATTTTCCTTTTTCCATATTTGTTGTTCTGTATTTTCGATACAATGTAACAAAACAGTTTTACACATAAAACTTGACAGTGCATTCTTTTTAACGGAATTGAAAAAGGATTTCAAAGTAATTTTCATTAAAACATAGCATTGTAATTGCGTAATATTTAGATTGAACATCAAACAACGCTCTGCTAGAGAAGTAGATATTCTCCACTCTAATTCTGGATAAGTAGCAACAACAAAACAATCACAGCTAGCTGCATATCTGATACTTTCAGGTGATAACCACGTCATAGCTCCGGGTCTTTCTAGAAATTGTGATGTTGATTGAAGTCTTGAATTACAAGGAAAAGCAAATACAATGTCACTGTCGCAGTACCCATCATTCCCTGACATAGCATTTGATGGCCCGTGTCGCTCAATATTTTCAAGGGGAAAAGTTGTTAAGAACATATTTCTTAATAATACTCTCCTTTTGCTATATCTTATGTAATTTTCATCAGGAATGTTTGTCTCAAAGAGAGGTTCATCGGATCGAAATCGTTGTAGAAAACAATATCCTGGTATTGTATTCTCATCCTGTATCATTAGAAGATTGATCTTATTGATCTTATTTTGTTTCCATTCTGCCCAGTCTTGTATCACATCATAATCATAATCTACAATTACCGTATCAACATCTGAAGTAAGTCCTATAGTAGTGGTCCCTTCAGACTGACTCCCAAAATGATATGCAGTTTCGTTTCCGCCACATGATCTGTATAAGATCGTTTCTAAACTCTCCATGAACACGAACATTCTTCTCCTTTTCATCACAATTTCCTCATTAACACCAACAACCTCTAATACCTCAGATAATTTCAGTGACAAAGTTTTGCAATATTCAGGTGAATGAAACATTCTGTAATGATAAAAAAATATATTTCTTTGTCCAAAAATTTGAATGAGTTTATGATAATATAGAATAGTTACTAGATATTAAGCATGTGTAAAATGTGACCTGATTATTAATTCAAAAATAGAACAATGTATCTCATCTTTAAGTTAGCAATGTCTTTATGTTAAAATGTTAAATATTTGTTGTTAAATATAACACATAACACTGGTTTAAAGGAATACAAGAGAGAGAACAAAAGATTGCATTATAACATTGATGAAATGCACTGTATGTTCCTAAGATACATGACAAAAATAACCAGTTGAAGAATGATAAAATAAAAATACTCATAATTTTATTATTTAAACTTCCTCTTTCGGTTTTAAAAAAAGAAATAAAATAAAAAATAATGTGTCATTATAGAACTATACATGTCATTTATGACAATGCGGTATAGAAAATATTACATATATACAATAATTGAAGTATATATTAATAACTTGTCTTTGTTTAGTAAACACGTATCAATTAGAATATTTCTGAAAATTGATATTTAAAATCAAAACTGTAGAAACTGACATAGGAGAAATATTTGCGTAACTTGCTTCATAGATTTATTTCCAATCTGTACCAATTTGTATTGTTTCAACGTAAAATGATTTCTGTCGTTAAAATTCTTATGTTATTATTGATCATAATTTATTAATAACGCCACAATTTAGGCTGTGATAACATTTAGACAAAACTTCAGATACAATATTATGGAAAATTAACAGAAATTGTAAATTACATATTTATGAATGAATGATAATTCAATATAAATTATAAAATATATATTAAACTTTCTTTTAATTGAATCAATTCTCGTGATATGTTTATAACGGTAAATAAATACTTCCTGTAGTGATTTGTAAAATTTCCAATTTGCACTTACGCTTTCGATTTTTAATATTCTCATTAAGATAATTCTTGTAATATGAGTAGTAACTCGGTTTCAGCTTTAACTCCCTTGAATATATTAATTTGTGAAGCCCTCTTTTGAGATAATGAAAATAATAGAACAGAAGCTAGAAAAGTTGGTATACCCAGGTTTGACATGTTTTAAAGACGGAGTACGACATATTCCTATTCAGAGTATACCAGGTCTTTAAGACTGTGTTTGGAGCTGCACCTGATAAACCGTAGGTATTATTTGTTTAGCACATCTCTCTGTATTTGACACTAAAAATACCTTTTATTTCTTAATTGAAGAGGTTTATTATGAAGTATTAGTCACAAAGATTTCGAGAAATTATGAAGTTATGGCTGGTACATGCATGAGTAAAAGGTTTTACGTAATTTCCTGAATTTGAGGTTTTTTATACTCTGAAAAGCTTTCTTTTATCTTTATAAAATCAATTAATTTTAAATACATAACGCAATATTCAGGGTTTATTTTACATTTAAAACTTCTTTGCTTGTGTATGGGATATGCTCATATTTTCATTGTCAAGTTGAGATGAATTGACTTTTTATTTCAATAAATTGACTGCTTTTATGGTGATTGACCGACAGTTAATATACGAAAATGGTTAGGATAAAATATTAATCAGCCTAATATATAAAAAAGACTACCCACTCTGATTTCAAATTGAATGTAATTGGTAACTTTTGATAGATGTTTACAGAAATTTCCTTGAAATACTTGATATATTGTTTAATAATAGGAAAAAGATTATAGAAATGAAAGGAATTTTGGCAAAATACGAGTATAAACTATTTTGACTTTCATCTCACTATATACCGTTTGATGCGCATAATGTCACTTTTTCCTGTTGTTACTTTGTACACTCTGACATGACAGAAGGTGATATTATAACGCCATGTTGTGCATTTTTTCTAGGAAGGAACCTGTAATGGACTCTGATCAGCTCTACAACATCTTTAAAACAATTCTACAACACTGCAAGGTAAAAATATCATTTAAAAGTAATATAACTATTTGTACACATCTTTTGTTGATATGAAAGGACCTGGAACAATTCTTTTTAACTGTATCATTTTTTGCATGTTTTTAGGTATGCAATTTGATTTTCTAGTTACTCCCTTGGTATTGAATTACCAGTTACAATAATTTTATCAGAGTTCTTTCCCTTTGATAGTTATGCCCCCACAAAGTGGGAGCATATAGCGTTGCACTTGTCCGTCCGTTTGTCCATCCGTACGTCTGTCCATCCGCACTCACAGGACAGTAATTATGTGGCTAGAGGGACAATAGGTAACTGTTCTTTTTCTTTGATGTCATTCATTCCGTAATGTTTTTATGTGGCTATTTTCTTTTGTGTGGCTAAAAAGAACAATAGAGAGAACAATAGAGTAGCCACATAATTACTGTCCTGTTAGAACGTCCGTCCATCTGTCCATACGTCCCGAAATCTTGTGAACGCAACTCCTCATAAACCGGATGGCAGATTTTGCTTAAACTTCCAGGGATGAACAACCTTAATGTGTAGATGGTAGTAAAGGAAGGAATTTTTGCTGCGACCAAATTTAACAGAATTATGGCTCTTTGTTGATTTTTTCACTATATACCATATAGAAATTTTGTGAACGCAACTCCTCTTAAACCGGATGGCAGATTTTGCTTAAACTTCCAGGGATGAACAAACTTAATGTGTAGATGGTAGTTAAGGAAGGAATTTTTGCTGCGACCAAATTTAAAAGAATTATGGCTCTTTGTTGATTTTTTCACTATATACCATATATATGTTGTCAGTGGGGGCATCCGTTTCCTTTGGACACAGTTCTAGTTTTATATCAGCATTCACGTTAATTTTTTTATGTCAAGTTTGAAGAGAAGTTCTCAATAAAATTTACACAGAAAACATTTGATTCAAATGACTGTTAGCCAAATTAGAGTAGCATTGTTATAAAAAAAACTTCCCTGTGTATTTTACAGACTCATGCTAGTGCTTGGCCTTTCCTGAAACCTGTAGAGCTGAAGCCCCTGATTATTATGATTACATCAAATTTCCTATGGGTAAATGACATATTTATTTTTAGCTCACCTGTCACAATGTGACAGGGTGAGCTTTTGTGATCGCTTTTCGTCCGGCGTCCGTCCGTAAACTTTTACTTTAAATGACATCTCCTCATAAACCACTATGCCAATTTCATCCAAACTTCACAGGAATGTTTATTTGGTGGTCACCTTTAAAAATTGTTCAAAGAATTTAATTCCATGCAGAACTCTGGTTGCCATGGCAACCGAAAGAAAAAACTTTAAATATCTTCTTTTAAAAAACCCAAAGAGCTAGAGCTAAGATATTTAGCATGAATCATCTTCTACTGAGTGTCTACCAAGTTTATTCAAATAAAAGCCCTGGGGTCAAAATTGGCCCCCAGGGGGTCATTGTTTTCCCTTTATGCATATAGTAAAAACTTAAAAAATCTTCTTTTAAAGAACTCAAAGAGCTAGAGCTAAGATACTTAGCATGAAACATGTTCTTATGAGTGTCTACCAAGTTTGTTCAAATAAAAGCCCTGGGGTCAAAATTGGCCCCGCCCCAGGGGGTCATTGATTTTCCCTATATGCATATAGTAAAAACTTAAAAAATCTTCTTTTAAAGAACTCAAAGAGCTAGAGCTAAGATATTTAGCATGAAACATGTTCTTATGGATGTCTACCAAGTTTGTTCAAATAAAAGCCCTGGGGTCAAAATTGGCCCCCCAGGGGGTCATTGTTTTCCCTATATGCATATAGTAAAAACTTAAAAAATCTTCTTTTAAAGAACTCAAAGAGCTAGAGCTAAGATACTTAGCATGAAACATGTTCTTATGGGTGTCTACCAAGTTTGTTCAAATAAAAGCAGTGGGGTCAAAATTGGCCCGCCCCAGGGGGTCATTGATTTTCCCTATATGCATATAGTAAAAACTTAAAAAACCTTCTTTTAAAGAACTCAAAGAGCTAGAGCTAAGATATTTAGCATGAAACATGTTCTTATGGGTGTCTACCAAGTTTGTTCAAATAAAGCAGTGGGGTCAAAATTGGCCCCGCCCCGAGGGTCATTGATTTTCCTTATATGTGTATAGCAAAAAATTAAAAAATCTTCTTTGAAAAAACCAAAATAGCTAGAGTTTAGATATTAAGCATGAAACATATTCTAGTAAGTGTCTACAAAGTTTTTCAAATAAAAGCCCTGGGGTCATAACTGGCACTGCCCCAGGGGTGTCATTGTTTTTATCCATATTTGTATAGTAAAAACTTAAAAAATCTTCTTTTAAAAAACCCAATGAGCTACAGCTTAGATGTTTAGCATGAAACATTTTCTTATGGGTGTTTATCAAGTTTGTTCAAATAAAAGCCCTTGGGTTAAAATTGGCCCTACCGGGGGTGGGGTCATTGTTTTTCATTATATGTGTGGTAAAAACATCATAAAACATCTTCTTATGGGTGTCCCCCAAGTGTGTTAAAATAAAAGCCCTGGGGTTTAAACTGGCCCCGCTCCGGGGGCCTATTTACAAGTGAGCGACCTCAGGCCATCATGGCCCTCTTGACTTTGTTATCTTTTCTCCTGCTCTTTCCCTTGCTACCTTAATTACGTTAACTTTTCTTGCTTTAAATTCAGAATATTTTAATATTTTGCATTTTTTAGGGGTTTCCATGATGTCATGATCCTAAGCTTCTGTTATAAAGTTTTATCATGAATGCCCACTTGACTTATGAAGTGTTTTTACTCAGGTGCCTGAAAAATTGCACGGAAGGGCACCTGATGTTTTCCTTTACCAATGTTGCCATATGACCTTTACATTGTCAGTGTGATTTAAAACGCAACCAAAATTAAATGATCAATCATTAATATTTTCAGAACATATTTTTCAACCCTCTTTTAAAGGATAACTTTTGCATTACAAATGTAAAATGTAGAGCTTTAAGAAAAAATATTTTTTTGTAGTTTTTATGTATGTATTGATTTTAAATTGACTTTAAATCAATTGCAAATTCTATTTATAGATCTTAGAACAATGGGAGATCGTTTAAAGAA